TTCATGTGTGAATGCGACTTCTGAGGCTCGTCTTTTCCATCGTTGGTTATCTTTTGAACTGATCTGACAGAAACGATTATTTTTTATAAGTTTATAAGGGCAGTGTGTAAAAACTCAATAATTTAGTTTCTCTTAGAGCCCTTGCATAGCTTTGTTTTAGACTTTTGAGTAGAAAAATGTAATTATCCCTTCACTCTTGCTAATTATCCTTGCTAATTTTGCTGTGGGTGGTCCCTAATGGCTTTAGATTACTATTCTAATGAAATTTAGGCTAAAACTAGACATTTAACATCCTTAAAAATGTGCTAAAATTGAACAACCTTGAAGCACCACAAATATAATATTCCAGCTTAGTTTGCCACCAGGCTGTAATTATTACCAAAATGTTAGATGACCGTGTCTGGAAGCAAACCAGTTGCTGAGCAGAGAAACAATCTGGTTAGTGAGAGCCAAAAACGTTGTCAGACTTTACAGAAAATAGCATCCAACGTTCTAAAATGTGTCCAGACACATAATTAGCAGCAGTTACTGTGTATTAATGAATTTAGCTGCTTTTGTCACCCTGAGGTTTGCATTTTCCGTTGTAGCCGGTGACAGCTGAGAAGAGAGCAGAGGGTAGCATTTAACTGACAACCAGAGAGCTTCAGCTGCTACACCACGACATGCACAGATGCAATAATGCAGTAATTGCTCTGAGGTGCTCTCGCGTCTGATTGCCTTTGAGCGTCTCTTATTGATTTAGTAGCTTCCAGTATCACGCCTCCCTTGAAGCGCGATCAGTCGCTCATTCTTTCTCACGCTCTCACCAGCAAGAATGCACAGCTTCTCTTCCTCCCTCCATCCTAAACACCAAATTAGCAGCCACACCTGGCCACCTGCCTCCAATCAGAATGGAGTTACAGTTTCCATGGTAGCCGGCAATGAACAAATCCAGATGCATATGGGGGGTCAGGGATGATGGGTGAAATGGAGTGACTTTGAGTTCAGATGACAAATGGATTTGGAGTTTGAGAGTCGTCTGTAGAATGAAATGGCTGCAACTAAATGTGGGGAAAATGTTCCAAGAGGATAAAAATCAATTTCTTAATAGAGATTTCCTCATTTGTCTGAAGCTTAACTGATAAAAACTTTATTTTTTAAACAATTAAAACCACATCGATCTTAACGGTGCTGTCGTGGGAAAAAAGCTGTTCAGGCACGATGCATAAAAAATACATTTCAAAAGTCTGACCCCTCTCTTCAGACTCCCCCTAGAGCCACAACGTCTGATGGCTGCAGAATATGGCACACCACTGCTTGTGACACCCAGGAGCAGACACGCAGCTCTGCTGAGCTGCTACGGTCAGAGTTTTCAGAGCTTGCTCCAAATCAAACCGAACCTCCTCCCACTTGCTTTGTGAGACATTAAGAGGAGCAGTGTGATGCATGAGTTTTGAGCCAATCACATAGCATTAAGCTTGGTTTATGCTTGACACATTTACTTTCCGCTTGGTGATGCGGCTCGTGGATGGAACGCGCTTCACAACTCGCAGCGTTTATGGTTCATGCGGCTCGTCTCTGCGGTGAGCCAATATTCTCCCAAACTGTAGGGGGCAGCATGGAGCTCTACGGCATGCACCCAACACTACACCATAGTAGAAGTAGAAATTACTGTTTACAACATGGCATTCCAGCATTTTTAACAGCGTCCTCGTCTTTTCCGACAGTGCGAGCTATTTCTCTCCAAGAATTATTAACAACATGTTGATCACGGTGATCTCTGAGAGCTGAATCATACAAATGTCTGTATTTACCAACCTCTGCCATACTAGTTCTTGCCAGTCCGCCATGTTTTTCTGCGTCCGACCGTCCGCGTGGTTAGAAAATGTCCTAGGTGCGCGGTGCGGAAAGTTTGGGCCGTGCGGAGGTGCGGTGGAGGGGCGTAGTTGTTAAAATGACGCAATTTCGCCGCGCGGAGCCGTGCAAACCTCGTGGACGCGTCAAGCGTAAACCAAGCTTTAACCTGGCCTGCCAGACTCGTCCTCTGTTTAATTCTGCACAGAGAGAGAGTCTGGTAACTCACAGGTAGAGCGGCACTTGAGGTGCGGGACTAGGCAGCTCAAAAATAACCAGATAAAAGACGGAAATGCAGACTGTGCCGCGCGACGCTGTAGTTTTTTAGCTGTGGTAAAAAAAGCCGTCTGGCAGCGGCGCAAACATCTTTTTTAGAGACGTGTCCAAGTCATTTAGACCAGAGGAAAGAGGTGCAGCGAACTCCACTTCAGTCGCCATGTTCGACAAACTTGGCGTTTTGGTGTGTGACGTACGCTACTCATCGCTGATTGGCTCAGTTAGAATTCACAGGGGGCGGGGTTACTTGAGTAGGCGGGTTCCCAGAGCCTTTCACTGTGCAGATGTAAACAGAGGAGGAGTCTGGCAGGCCAGGCTAGGCTAGCTTTGGATTGGATGAGGTATTTTTCAGGATGCTGCGTTTCAGAGACGATAAAAATGAAAAAGACAATTTGACCAACATTGAAGTTGTTGGTTGCAGAGACAATAATCAGGACATATAAAGGGATTGCTATTCAGCGTGTAACACTGAGAAGTTTTGCTTTTGTTTTAGACTGAGTGACATTAATGATGCTGTTTTGGTGGAAAGGCGATACGTATGAATATCTGTGCAGTCTTGGGCTAGCGATTCACAAGCTACTTTACAAGCTAACATATTAGATACATCAAGTGTGCTGTAAATTATCACCTAAATGTCATATTCTATGAGAGCGTAAACATTAAAAGTGCACAAGTCGTTGACGCTCGTCCATGCTTTCACCTCACCTAACCCCAACCCGGATTCATTCACCCCGCCAGAAACCTCACAAAGAGAACAAACCCCAGCTTTCATCACAAACACACTCCTAGCTGTCTGATCAATAAAGCAGCAGGATTGTGTAGCGCCTCGCACCCACACAGTCTTCTTCCCTTAGATTGACGGGCATAGTTACGATGATAAGAGGCAATTTGATTGATTTGATGTCAGCAAGAATAACTTGAAAAGACTGGAATACACAAATAAAGCCGTCGTCAGAGAGCAACTTTAAAAACCCTCTTTGTTTCCATTTAAGATTACATCTGCGGGGAACGCAAAAGTGATGCTTTCTCACTTTTTTTGCCTTCTGCATGTTGTGCAACTGTTGTCGGCTGCCAGGGTGACTTCCATTCACGCCTAAAGAACTTTCCAAAAAACATTCGATTCATCGATTTGTTATGTGCAAACAATTTGTCAGTTCTTTTCCTGGAGGAGCATCTGCAATAGAAGCGTTTAGTCCTTCTTGCCTGACCATTATTGCGTGCGAGTCTCTTTGTATTTTTCCAGCTGAAAGTCAATACCCAGTCAGTGTTTTGCTCATTTTCTTTATCAGTCCACAACGGCTTAACCGAACACACAAGCTGTGTTTCTGCATCACCTTGCTTCTCGTTTACACAGGGAGTCATTGCTCTCCATCGGGAGCTTCCGAGTACAACAGGCTACTGAGCAGCTCCACTGGAGCAGATGGGATTAAGGGCAAAGGCTGCTTGGTAACTGGTGCCCTTTTTAGGTTTTTATTTACATTCAGCTCAGATTCAGTGAAGCGACAAATGGAGCGGTATCACAGATCAGGCGAGGCTGCAAAGTCACACGTACTCCATCAGCCTGGCGTCCAATCATTATTTATAAAAGGTAGCTTCTTTTATTTTCAATCATTAGCTAATTAAATCAAATCAGATTGATGCAAATATCAGAATTGCATAAATACATTGAAAATACCAACTTCTCATAGCATAACTGTGTTCTAGTGTGTGCACATTAAAGGTCACAGAGAAACTCCTAAAGCCTGTTAATCCAAAGGGTTCAAATGAAGGCCACTCAACTTTGGTTTCCTGAAGACGTTTTGCTTTTTGTCATTTCTGCTCCTCTGATTACCATAACCCGGATGACTGAAGACCTTCACCAGCACACTGCTTGTTCCTTTAGAAATAGTCAGTCTGGTTTTCATGTGCGTGCTGAATGTGAAACGCTTGTTTGACCCCCAGTGCCTGGATTACCTGGCCTTTCCAACTGTTGCATAAGCATCACATAATGTCAATGAAGCTTAGTACGCAGCAGTTAGCTGCTGTCGTAGTGAATGGGTGCATTTCCACTGGCTGCAAAGTGTTGCGTTTTTGCTAACTTGCTACTGTCTTACTCCTTGCTTGTTATCGAGTGAACCGCTGAATTCACGCGTGGTCTTTCAATTCCCCAGTGATGCCGTGACCTTGTGGGGCCAGCGGCGTGGAACGATGTAGCTGCTGATTTGTGTCTGAAACTCTGGCGGTGGGGAGGGACAAGTGGAACGCATCTACTGTGTTAGACGATGCTAAGGGTCTGGTGAAAGGCCTCGGACGGCCACAGGAAGGAACTAGATAGGTCAGAAAAAGCCATTCTGTTAAATGTATTTGTGGCCCCGCCCACATAGGCTTGTGACTGTTGACTTTGTGGCCAGGAGAGAGCAGAGTGGGTTAGGGTTAGCCAATCAGAGGTGAGATGTTTACATACCAAGAGTATTAATGAGTGATGTTTGAAACCCTGTTTCTATCCCTCCTCCCGAGCTACCTTCTACCCCCCTGAAACAAGAGCCCCCCCATAATGACCCACAAGGCTGTCATTCAAGACGAAGAGCCAAATCTAGAATTCCCAATGCAAACATGTTCATAAGTATGTTTCTTTATATTTATTTAATTTTTCAGGAAAATACTTTTAATGTTTTTTTCATTTATGAGGAAAAAATGAGCTGATCTGGTTTTAAGGGTTTAATTTCCGTTGCAATGGGGATGCAACATGTCTGAAAAGGGGCGTAAACGGTGACTGACCCTGAAGAGACGTCCTCTAACGTTCTCTACATCAGAATAATGTTTTATTTTTTCAGCACTGAGTTGTAATGAATAATCAGCACAGCTAGGCTGGTACAAAAACTAAACTCTGTGTTGCGTCTTCTCTTTTCCAG